TAATGAACTTGCTTATAATGGAAACCCGTATATAATGGACACAATTTAAGGTCCTATAAATAATTGCATGTAAAATCCTCGGATATTATAGACACGCTTAAAATAGACCCTCGCTTATAGCGGACTATTTTAATCCATTATATGGCAGCTAGTTTACGGTGGTTTCGCTTCGCAGTTTGCATTCGAACTTGGCCACCAGTGTTATACTGTATTTATTAGAGTTATAAACATGTCAAAAAGTGCGAAACGTGCATTCACAAAGTTCGCAATAATTAGACGGGTTCATCTCAATCAAATATTATGTGCTCGTATGGCTATAAAAAAGTCCACTGTGTCAAATATTTGGAAAAACACGGACAAAATTAAAAATAACTGGAAACAAATAGTCAAAAGAAGAAATGCGGCTATCGTTGCATCCCCAAGTCGATGATATGCTGTTTAAATGGTTTCAACAAAAGCGTGCTTAAAATTTTCCAATAAGTGGACCTATGCTACAAATAGAGTCTGAAGAATTTGGGAAATTGATTGGAGATTACTTCAAATATAGTTCCGGTTGGCTAGACAGGTTTAAGAAAAGACATAACATTGTTTTTGGAAAAATGTGTGGTGAGTCAGCTTCAGTTGACAAGAACGTTACCAATGATTGGATTTCTCAAATTTGACCCGTAATATCCAGTAATTATTCAGATGATAACATATTCAATGCAGATGAAACCGGGATATTTTATAGCATGCTACCAGATAAAACACATAAATTAAAAGGTGACACTTGCAATGGAGGGAAGCTTTTCTGATTTGTACTAATGCTTCTGGTACTGAAAAACGGAAACTATTGATTATAGGTAAGTGAATGAATAGAAATTCATGTTCTAATTTTTTGATATTCAATGGCAGTGCTGCAAAGAATTTATGACCTTTTTTTATTTCAGGGAAATTTAAGAATCCAAAAAATGTTAAAACAATTCCCGTCGATTATGTTGGAAATAATTAAGCTTGGATGGCTTCATCAATTTTTGAAGAATATTTAAAAAAGTGGGACGCTGAACTTGTTACGAAAAATTTTGCTCTTGGTCGATAACTGCCCCGCTCATCCAAATATTTCACACTTAATAACATCAACCTTCAATTTTTTCCATCCAATGTGACATCAGTTCCGCAACCGATGGACTAGGGTGTTATTTGGAGTCTTAAACAAATGTATCGGAAACATATGTTGATGAAAATTATGGAGCTTCAAGATGTCAACATTACCAAAGCTGTCACCATTTTAGATGCTATAAATTGGCTTACTATTGTATAAGAATTGGTTACTCCAGAAACGATTCGTAATTGTTTTCGCCATGCTGGTTTAGGGAAAAACATAACTGAAATAGTCAACGATTTTAATCCAGAAGATGAAATTCCATTCAGTGATTTACGGAAAATTAATAGTTTACTGAATATAGACAAATTTAATGAGTATGAAAATGTTGACAATAATTTAATAGCAACACAGGAATTGTCAGACTCCAATTTGGTTAATGAAGGATCCGTTGATAACGAACAGGAAGACGGACTAGAATACAACGATGAAGAAGGGCTTCCAGTGATAACTAAGGAAGCATTAGACCGCGTGGAAAAGTTGTAACGTTATTTTCAGCAAGAAGAAGACAGTACAGCCACATTTACCAAATTAAATAAAATTCAACTTGCTGTTCTAAATAATTATACAAAAAACAATCTGTTCAAATGAAAATTACTAGCTTTTTTGCCAAATAATTTATGGTTTTTACACATACCTACACAGTACGTATGCCTGTATAGGTATGTGTATCAGATTCTGAAAAAATACAAATTTCAAAATTGCGTATAACTGTTTTGTATGTATCTTTATTTATGTAATACACGTTAAACAAACACATTTTAAGCTTTTAATATGTTTATTCTGCTGCTTTTTTCATTAAAAAAAGTGTTTCTTTTAAGATGGTCATCCGCCTATAATAGACTATTTGTCACAGTCCCGCCAAGTCCATTATAAGCGGGTTGCACTGTATGTCGAAGAATATCTAAAGTCTACTCGACCGAAATCAATGAAAGTTCGTCATTAAACGTCACCCATTCGGCAGGTTCAGGTTGTTTCGATTAAAATTTTTAATAATGTAGATGTAGATTATTATCCAAGTATGTCACCAGCGAATGTTGTGACAGCACTCAAATTCTCAAACCATTTTGAGTGCTATTGATCATATGCTTTATCTGTTTATCAAGCATATCCCTTTGCTATGTTACACCACAATTGTCTGCTGCTAATACTATTTCCAAATGTAATAGATAAAAAGTACAATAAAAGATCATTTTAAGTAGTTAGTTTACCAACTTAATTGATAGTTATTTGTCTAGTTGCTTGAATTGTTGTGTTGCGTATATTAAAGCAAATGTTTTCGAAATATATGTAGGCTCTACAAGTTTTTACATGGCGTCCTAAGATCGATTTCCCAAAAAGTTCTCATGAGTAAGACTGGTAAAAAGTTACTAATAAAAATACGTGATTGTGAACATAAAATGTGTTTAGAAGCTAAAGTTCAATAATAAAGCGAGATTACCGATATACCATGGATAGGCGTTTCGTGCTATTTGGGAATTCATCAGCATGGTCTAGGCCTGGTTTCAGGTAGGAAAATGAACGAAAGCTGAGTAATTATCCTCTATCCAGGATATATGGTCTATCAGCACAAAGTGCCATCTATTGCCAGAATCGACCACTGTCACAGGTTGATATCAGGTATAAACACAGATGCTATCATTTCTAAAACAGTTTAGTTTAGTTACACTTAATTGCAGGGAATATCAATAAAGCACAGTAAGGAAATACTGGTACATAGATAAGAATAGCAATATATAAGTAAATAATTAACAACAATATACTACCTTACAACTTCATGAAGGTAAAATTCGATGACGCGCGATTCAGTGTCATCAAATATGTCGCAGTTACTAATACCATGGAATAGTGACATCCTATGAACGGGAGACTTGGACAAAACATTGGTGTCGCAGAAATCATAGTAAAATGTATCACAATAACGGTACATAAGCGGGGAACATTACAACCTATGTTACTTAAAATAAATCTTATTGCGGAGTAAACTGAACAAAAACGAAATATTTCGGCGCACTTCAAGATGTTTTTTATTAAATGATTTAAGCAACACATTATGGTCGAAGCCTATTTGTGGATAGAAACCATTGCATTTGGAAAAAATTTATTTTACAACTCTTCGTTGAATAGATTCCAATCTGCTAATAGAGTTTTGATAAATAGGTGCCCAGATAATCGATGCATATTCAAGTTTGCTTCTGACGAATGTTATATAGAAGCTTGATTGATTCAACATCCAAGAAACCTGACCAGGAAGCAAACTGTGTAATGTTACTTATGTGATTATTGAAAGTGAACTTTGTATAAAATGTAACACCTAGATCTTGATGCCTGTAACTCCTTTCTAACCTTACCTGATAAATACTCTAGTCATCCTGAATCATAGCTTTTTGTTTCCTACAATATGTTACTGCCGTATATTTTGATAAATTCAGTGTGAGGAGCTTTTTTTCTATTAACGGTAGCAATGCCGAAGAGTAAGGGTCCATAAGAGTGTCATAACAGTGTCGTCTTCTGGCCCCGAAAATAACCCAAACTTTAAGATGTTGTTGAGTTAAACTTTTTCACTAAAATATTCTAGAATAACTCCCATTTTCCAATATCCAACTTACTTTATTTATATGGCATACTTTAGGTCTATTTTAAATCCAAACAAGGTACAAGACATGAAAGTGTTACGTCATTGTAGTTACAATAAAAACAAAAGATGAATCTAATAGTTACACATTTATGAATGTTTGGTACAATCGTTTTGTTGCTATTAAAGGTTTTCCCCTATATGCCAATTTTCCAAAACCTCCAAAAACATTGTCCTCGGAATACTGTCAGACACCTATTCCAAGTCAATGGAGCTATCGAAGCTTAGAAATTTTGCTCTTATCGATCACCTGTTTTATGGTAGCAACATGCTCCTGAGTGATGTATACCCTTTTCTGTAGTCATTCTATTAATCGGGTAACTGATGTTTCAGCTTCTTGATTAATTTACTCTACAGTGATCTTTTTTACACCGAAGCTGCCGCGTAGGCAGAAACCTAAATCTCAGGGCATTTAAAGAAATTTTGTTAATTCGATTTTTGAACTGCCTAAGGTTAAGAGAACTGGGAAAAGCCTCCTCATGTAGATTGTTAGACAATCTGGATTCCCTAGTGACAAAGGAGAGGTCGATCGGCCAGCTCTGGATGTACGAAGTTCAACACGGTCAGTATGGGAGGCCGAAGTCAATCGAGTCTGTTTGGCAGGCACATCATTCGGTAGCATGATGGAGGAGAGCTTTGAGGAGCAAAGCCCTTTGGCGTAGCGGTAGAAGAGAACTAGATCGTCGATACCCGCCGGTGTGAAAGGGTCCCGAGACTGCCCGTTAGATAAGAGTCATTGATCAGACCTTAGCTACCTCACCTAACAGTGTTACACCCCAATATTTTTTAGAATCTTTATTGCATTCTTTGCGCATACTTGACTCCCATATTGCTTGGCAGTTAATATTTCCATGTTGTTCTTACCAATTAACAATAAACTATCCTCAGTTACATATCTTTCAATGGATACTTCGACCAGTTCCATCGTTATTATATCTTCAGATTGTGTACTTCCAACTCCATACCAGCTAACTCCCTTTCTTTCCATACTGTGGTTATAGGAGTTTCTGAAAGTACACACTCCAACGTGTTGACAGCAGTTCTGCATCCTCATTCCTCATGCATCTTTATTTATTTAACCGGTTTCCGAATTTTTCCCAAGACTGTCGTTTTGCTTCCAGTATAGACTCTTTCAATTTATCTTTCTCGTCTCTATGAGTCTCATACGTCTCTGTGGTGGACCCTGATCCTTTTCATGATATTCTAACTTGAATTTTAGAAAAATCGGTAGACATCGTGGGACACCATGTATGATTATTTTATATAATCAGTACAATAAATACCAAGGATTATTACATAAAGGTGTTGGTATAAGAATCGTCACATATAAAATAGAACCATGCATAACAAATTTAAGTATAAGTGGTAAAGTGAAGGGCTAAGAATTTTCTACCGTATCTATCAGCAGCAACGTAAGTTGTAAGGTTTGGCATCAGAAACGTGTTCTGTTTTGTGTGAAACCATTTTAAACGCCACTAATTTAAACTCACTTTAAGGTTTTCTCAGAGTTTTTACAGAGACTAATCTATACGTACTGTAGCGCAAAAAACATATACATATACAGGGACCTCGCACGAAATGAACGATAACTTGTTGCAGCAATGCGCGCAGATGTGGAAAGTGACAACGTTGCCAGATGACAGCAACTACCGGTAGGGCTGCGAAATAATGTCTATGAACCAGCTATCTGAGTGATTCAATTTTTGAGAAAAATTACAATTCGCGTTTTTGACCATGAGCAAAAATGAAAATTCAAAAAGTAACAAATAAGATAAAAGCTGAGGTGTGTAAGTTTTATTTTTATACAAAATTCAGCACTAGAAATTTCAAAATGGCGGAATGAGGGGTTGCCAAAGTGGACGGTTTTTCTGGACAAAACACCTTACATCTCAGTAGCTAATTACCAAAACCCCATAGTATGTTATATCAGTATTCTTCTTTTTAATTTGAGGCACTCCATTTATAAAATAACAATTTTGATATGTAGGTGAAACACGGGTCACCCTGTATAACTGCCAATATTTCATAAATGTGCCCTCAACTGTCATGTATAACATACCATAAATAGATTTTTTCAAAATGTGTTTATTTATGAGTAATATTCCGTCCACACATGGATGGGCCACCCTGTATATTTTGAGATACACGAAAACTAAAAACTATTTTTCGAAAACTAGTTTATTAATGTTCAAGGTATTCTCCTACAGCATCAATGCGCTTCTGTAGCCTGACCTTCCACAAATGAAATGCTTCTAACCAGTCTGTTTTTGGAATGCCTTCAACAAACTGATTAATTGCTTGATCGATTTCCTCTTCGAACGAATATTTTCAACTACGCAAATGTTTTTTCAAATTGTTGAAGAGCCAGAAGTTACACATTTCTAAATCTGGCGAATAAGGCGGATGTTCTAGCATTTTGATGTGGCGCTGATGTAAAAAGTCTACAGTTAGTTGGGCAGTGTGGCTAGAGGCATTGTCGTGATGTAGGATTGTACGCAATAATTTTTTTTTTAAATGAAGATGATCATGCAAAATGGTGTGCACTGTTGCGGATTCTACCCCAAGAGTTGCCTCTATAGTCACATATTTTATGTGCAGCGAGAATCTTCTTCAATTAGCCGCTGAACTTTAGCAATGTTTTATTTAGTCACACTAGAACATAGACTACCACTACGTTCTTCATCAGCCAATGAAATAGTGCCTCTTTTAAATTCGGCATACCAGCGAAACCCAATTGCCCGGGACGGAGCTTCATTACCGAATGCCTGTTGTAACCGTTTGATACATTGATGTTCAGTTAAACCGACTTTAAAGTCATAACGTGATAACTCTCTCGAGACAACTCCATGTTTCGTCTTAAGTTTGTTTACACCACGTTGCACTGTAAGACACTTGCAAATGAACTGAATGCGGCGACTTACTAATAAAGGACTGCTCTACCTAATAGTGCACTGTTACCGGTTTTAACACAGCGTACCCCTCGTATATCTTCACATTTTTTTATCCTACTTCGCCTAATCTTTAATTTGTGTTACTCATTATATGATGGTTCTCTAAATATTTTGTCAAGCAGATTGACTCAATACTTACTACTCATTGATATAAAACAGACATGGATTGACCAACAGACATAAATGAGAAACACGAGCTTGAGTGATGCAGATATCTTTGAGCAACAGAAGACTTGTGAACTGAAGTTCGAACATTATCGCGAGTTCAATACTATCATAGTGTTACGACGTTTGAGAAATTCATAGGGTGACATAGAACACGTCAACAAAAAAATATAAAGAATATAAATAAGTAAAAAACACACATTAGTAAATGGCAGTGAAAAATAAACAACCATTGAAATGCATACAACATAAAAATAGACAAACATTTAACTAAAACAAACATTGAAAATAATATATAAATAAAATAGATGGAATTCAAAATCGTAGCATATAAAAACGAATAAGAAAAGTAACTTTTAAAAATTGAGACATAGGATATCACAGAGATGAGAGACATAAACTGTATTGTCAGAATTAGGTACACGTATTGGTCGTCTATCAGGTTATCTGATAAGTAGTCATCCAAAGAGTAATATGCTTTACTTTTAATTAGTTCAGGTTTGAAAATAGCGAGCGACAGAGCCCTGAGGGTGTTTGGCAATTTGATGAACAACCTAACACTCACTTGATTCTGGCGTCATTCTGTTTGTATTGCATGTTCGGTGTCAGCAAAGACCTTCCATTATTAAGAGGCTGCCGATCCCGGTAATATTACGCACCTGTTGGACATAATGAGTCACACTTGTTTTCCATACATCTGCCATGGGCCAGAAATATGTTTATTTCTTTCCTTTGATTTGAAACCTCCAACGACGGCGTAGGAAGTCCAGAGTCAATCAACTTGAAGCCATTTTTTCCGTTACTCAGAATGGTTGAAATATTTATTTGAGATCATGTTATCCGTTTGTTCATTTTTAGGCATACCAGTTATCGAACCTCTACCAGTTGGTGAAATAATGTATGATCACGTCGTATTCCCTGGAGCAGCGTTTCTCATAAATGAGCATATCGGTTTGGAATATCTACAGTATATTCAGGACCCTAAGACATACTGGGATTTTCTAGTTCATCATAAAGGACCAATTACTTTTAATGGTTCGTAGTTGCTGATACATTGTTAGAACCTCACCATCAACTTACATGACTGATTCATCGCTACTAAAATATGAAGGGTGAAGCCAAGATGTTGAAGTTTCGTCAAGACCGTCAGGATGGGCTTATAACACAACTATTGGGCAATATTAAGACATTCTCGCTGATCTAAGAGAAGGAGCTGCCATTCAAAATTTCTCTCGCTCTGCATCTAAAGGCCGTCTGTTCATGATTCGGTATCAAAGAGTGTGGAAAAAATGCGTTACTGAATTTAGTTCCCAATTCTTTTACCATTTACAATCCAATACGCGAGGCTAGGTCATATCTAGGCTTTGTATAGAGTGAGGAGGCCATGAGAAGCAAAGTATTTCTTAGCCCTAAGCAAATAGCCTAGTTTTTTCCCAGCAGCTGCCGCTATTGTCGAGATATGTTCGTGCCAGATCAAGTGCTCGTTGTTCTGAACCCCGACCAGCCGAAATCACCGGCTCTTTTGCAGAACTCGGCCATCCAACAAGACCGGACGAGCAAGAGGACGCTTTTTGTTCGTCAAGCTACAGAACTGTGTTTTGGAAGCATTAAACTGTACAAGATTGTTGTGTCCTCAATCAGAGATAGTCAGATACATTTGAATGTACAGTTTCGTCTGGATTTTCAGGACGATTATTTTGATATTCTAGATTGATTTGTTCATGTTCAATGATATCTACAATTTCGTCTGGGGGTTGAATAAAAAGACTGTTTTCGTTATTATCGACGTTTACGAACATAGATTCGGTATCAGATTGTTTTGGGGTAGAAAAGTTAAATGTAGGTGGACTCAATTCAGATGAGCCTTTCTGAACTGCTCGGTCCAACTTAACGTTTTGGTGTTGAGTTCCCACCCGCGCATTCTTGAATCAAATCATCTAAGTCGTTCCAAAATGGACTGGTCTCTTTTGTATGGATCTCTAGACGAGACAGGGCATCTGCATTGGTATTTAGTTTGCCTTTCTTATAGACGATATTCATATCATACTCGTCTAACCTGATTTTCCATCTTAGTAATTTTGAAGAAGGGTCTCGGAGGGACCATAAGTATTTTAAGGGCATATGATCAGTAATTAGATTGCATTTTCTCCCGTAAAGATAGGGCCGAAAGTATTTAGTCGCCCAGACTACTGCTAGTAATTCTTTCTTAATCGTACTATAATTTCGTTCGTAATCATTAACTTGCGCGAAGCATAGGCGATAGGAAGATCCTGTCCTATAGGGCCTTGTGAAAGTACACAACCAAGGGTTACGTTGCTCGCATCCCTGGTTAGGTTAAATGGCTTAGAAAAGTCTGGATACTTGAGTGTCGGTTCATTCATAAGAACATTTTTACATTTTTCGAAACAGTCAATAAATTCAGCATCGTATTCAATTTTGGCTCCCTTTTTTAGACATTTAGTTAGAGGCTTTGTGAGTTTCGCAAAATCTTTTATAAAACGTCTATAGTAACCAATAAGCCCGAGAAAGCTTTTAATCTGCTGAGTAGTTTTTGGAATCGGAAATATTTTAAGGGCAATAATTTTATCTGGATTTGGCTTAACGCCGTCTGGTGTGACTACATGTCCGAGATAAGCTACTTCTTTACGACGGAAGTCTGATTTGTCGAGCTGTATTTTAAATTTTGAATTTCTGAGTCGTTGGAAAACTGACCTTAAATTTTCAATATGTTCTTGAAGGGATGTAGAAAAATTATAATGTCGTCGAGATATACGACATATTTCTCGTTTTGTATCCCCCTTAAAATATTATCCATGACGCGTTGGAATGTGGCGGGCGCGTTTTTGAAGCCATAAGGCATCCTGAGAAACTCCCAATGCCCATGTTCGGTACTAAAGGCAGTTTTCTTTATGTCTGTTTCCTCCATCTCGATTTTATGGAAACCACTCGCTAAGTGAAGGGTAGTACGAGGCGTGTTTTTAAAGTAAGTACCGTTTTGACCTAAAAAAACAACAAGTAAATTTTGTCCAAAAATGAATTATTCACTTGAAAGGCCATACTTTACTCTACTTTTCTACGTAATTCCCATTACGATTGAGGCATTTATCGTATCTTGGGACCAGCTTTTGTAAGCCATCGTCAAAGAAGCTTGCCGCCTGAGTAAACAACCACTGCTTCACATTTTTGGCACTCAGCGTGAACACAATTTCCGATAATTTAAACGTTCGGACACAATTCGTAAAGAACACTTCTTGAGACAGCAGGAAACTGTTCAGCTAAGGACGAAAACGTGAATC